TCTTTTTGATCAAAGAAACCGAAGTTTCTGATCAATCCGGAGCAACAGATTCACCCTCTCCCCCGCCCCCAACACACAAAAAATATTTATTCACAAGCAAGCACTAGGTTCCGTCTTCGACTGGATCTTCGAGTGAGGCAATGCCGTCCGAGTTTCTGGATCCGAAGCCATTCTCTCCACCACAGAGTTCAATTGAAGGATCCAGAGTTTACCGACTGAACAAAAGGATAAATTATGAACTACCTTGAGCATTCCAAGAGCGTCTATACCACTTCCGCGCATCTTCGAGGAACTAGTCTGTCCTGAAGTCTTTATGTTCCGGCGAAACTGTAGCTCCTGACAAAAGGTAGGAATGACAGTCTGGAAAAATAACAACTCACCTCCTATGTACCAGAAATCAGTATGCAGATAAGCGCTACTGCTAGCTAGTTCCTGCTTTCCCAAAGCTCTGGTCATCTGGCAAGAAATCTGGAAGCAAAATGCGTGAGGCAGAACCAAGATATAGAAACTCACACCTCCGCATATCGTTTGGATAGGCTCGTGCGATACAACCTGTAAGAGACCGAGAGACTCGGTTCTATCCGAGATGGAATTTTATCAGAAACACAGAATATCAATTGGATATGACTTGTTCAAACCTAAAACAACAATATATAATCTACGACAACCTGGATGGGTCTCCTAACAAACGCTCCTTTACTAGGGCCAATTCATTGACGTCCCACTTGTCGAGGAATTCAGAATCGTCGTCGTGAAAATAACCTAAGCGTGGACTGAAGAAAGTAAAACTCAGCATTTACAAACTAACGAACTATCCGACTCACCCAAAATCTATTATGGGCTATGGGGCAACACCTTCTTGCTTCCTACTCATTATGAACAACTGATGGACTTGGAAAATGAATGCTGGAAGTATCATAAGTGAAGGACGGAGAGCTTACCTCAACGGAGCTATAACACATGTAACCACATTGCATCTGAAACAAACATCTGAAACAAACAGGACGATCACCTTACCTGCCATAATCCGGTGACATCTTCCTCAATCAGCTAAACAACAACAAGTATTGGAAGGTTGCAACCTTTCTACTTCAGAATAAACGAAAGTAACAATCAAATCTTTATTTCGTGAAACAACAACTGAGGTCTGGCACTTCCACCAACATCTCAAAGAAACTCTGAAAGCC